TGCATGTCTAAATTTGTGTATTCACAAAGAAGATTAGTCAACAGTGGATAACAATCCTGTTAATCCTGAGTATTAATTAATTAACAACTTATATTTTGAGTTTTGAGATAATTGCATGTCAAAATTGTTATTTTATTTTTTAGCAATTTTTGAGTTTTCATAGAACACACAGATACAGTATTATATCATATCAACCCAATTTCTAAAATTCTAGAATCAACTGTGGCGTGAACTCATGTTCCAAATAAAGATCAAACATTTTAACACCACCATGTGTCCAGTGTCACCTAAATGATGGAATTTGAACAATAAAAACTTTAATTCAGTTCAGTTAATTTTATTGCAGTATTGTAGGCTGTTGGCCTTATACAGTATACAACAAAAAGTTCACAAAAACAAAGGAATGATCACGCCATTGAAAATAATATTGAATCTTGATTTGAAACAGTAGAAACGAGTTATCTTTATCAATAAAGAACAGATATTCCTCTAAAACCAGATAATTTTTATAGAGACAATAGGTGTCAAGCTTGACCATTGTCATGCAGCAATATCAGACGATCTTTGTTTGAAGGCGGATACAAACATATTTACATTACCAACCCCTTGCGTCTACCAAGTTGAATATTATAAAAGTATATATATGTAAAGTATATTCATGTACCAAATTACAATCCATATAAGATAACTGACTAACATGTACTAACTAACATGTAGGTCTTAGAATTAGAATAAATCTATGGTACACAGAGTTTGGCACCTTGCGACAACAAAACCATGTATAGGGAGGGCGCTAGACTGTCGACAGTCCTCGGGCCTAATTTGTTAGTATACTAAAATATCTGCTGATCACGAGCACGAAAGAATATCGAAAAAAGTACATGGATCAGTGACCTTCATTAGACCCAGTTTTGCATTTTTTGTCTGGCAAGACGCACACAATTTGCTCATCCTATGTTAATCAAGGTAATATTATGTGAAATTTATTTGTCACAGTATGGTATGGTACACACAAGATAAAATGTTTTGAAATTGTGTTATTATCTTAATTTCCCTGAGTCTAAAAGAACATTTACTTGAAATTTTGTTAGGGACAACGTCTAAAGATCGATGTCGGATAAAAAAACTTAATTCCTTTAGTTTTTTCCCAAAAATATTGATCATGGCGTCAGACTACATTCACCATTAAATACAAATTGATAATCGGGCAGTAGTATGGCATAGCAGTTGGTTGTAGTTATGAAGGGAAGTATACGCATGCGCAAACTACTTTTCTGGTTCTGCGCATGCTCTAGGTCGATGCCCTGAAATTGACCTCATTTGATGCACATATTTACACTCGGACTAAACCATTTTTTTCCCGGCTTGGATGTGTTTTTTTTCATTTACTGTTATTTTTTCTAAGATTGGATAGAAAAAAAACGAACTACAAAGTCTACAAGATTTTTTTAACTTCATTAAAAAATAAAATCGTTTTTGTAGGATGGAAACTTTTTGAGGTCAAACACCCCACTCCTCCTCCACCCCCGCAAACTAAAGCTTTTTTATCTAACATCGATCTTTTGACGTCGTCCCTTATATCACTACACTATTTGGATGAATACTGGATTTCATCATTTTAGGGTAAGCAAATGATCAAGAACAAACTACCTGCAAATATACCTAGTGCCCCTATCACAGAAATGCTACTGTAACATTAGTATGGAAATAGAAATTCTTATCACCCAAAGGAGAAAGCTATTGTCTCTGAGATTATTATGAAAATCACTGCCATGTTGTTTGCACCTAAGAATCTGTCCTTTGTTCCCTATTGTCATTTTAATTTACTCGGTAGATTTTCTGCTAAATTAATCAGATAATAACCCTTATAACTACAGTACTGGGCAGTGTTCTAACATCAAACCACTGTAAACAAAAACAAATTCCAATTCTAAGAACAGGAAACAGCCAGTCTCCACTACTTCCTCATTTTGTATGCGTTCTATATAAGTCAGAGTGTTAACATCAGTTTAAAGTGCCTGTGAAATACCCACCCTCACGTTTCCTATTTTAGATCTGTGTCCCACTGAAAAGGGTAGATATTGATTTTTTTGCTGAAAATGATTACTCGTATCCAAGTAAATTTGGGATATTTCTCGTGTTGTAGCCACGCCCACCTATCGTGAAACGGTCGACTGTTTCCGGATTTCCGACTCTCGCCGAAAGTGCGCCACCAAATGACAAAATGTAATAACACTGGTCGTTCAGTATACTTTTAAACGATATACATTTTTTGGTCGGCGTTTTTTTCTTTTTTTTGTCTATTTCATTTTTTTTGAGAGAGAGAGTTTTTAGATGTTGTGTTGTGGGCAGTTGCAGTGATACGTATAGCCATAGTGTATGTATTCACAAGTTTCTAATCGATCCAAAGGTGCGACATCACTTAACCTTTAATAGATTCATTCAACTGTCCTCGTCCATAAAAAAAACGACTAGGTTTAAAGAGAAACGCTGACAACCTAAACCTGGCGCAACACTTTTGAAAGAAATAGATTCCAGACCAGCCCATGATCACCGAGGCGATTGTCAGAAGAGAGAGAGACGTCCGGCAAGTGTTTCAAATCAGTTGACTTTTTTTGCGATCCTGATTATCATTTTATAGAGACCATTTAGTCCCTGTTAAGTAAAATATTTATGTATCAATTGATAATTTTAGGCGTGAAAATAACAGCCATTTCACAGGCATTTCAAAGTTAGAATAATTATGATGAATGAAGTGAGAGCAAGTGACAGATGCAGTCAAAATTAGAAATGAGTGCAGCTAACTGATGTTAGTCTATTATTTAAGTCATATTTTAGTCTGAGTTAGCATTGGGGTACATGGTAGGCTGTTCTTTACAAATTATGAATTTGGACATAAAATATATTCATTTGAATTCATTCCGCATAGTGGTGTTTCAATTTTAAAAGCAGATGCTTGTCTAAAAGTGGCATTGCTGATTAGCAAATTTGATCACTAGCATGCAGCATTGGTATGCTAAAGTTACATGTACATGCAGCGGTAGCATTCATGGTTTGGGATTTCATAGAATAAGAATTATTCACTAGTGAGACAATAAAAGTGGCAGCTGTGCAACCCTCTTTCAGATTTACTTGCTAGAAAAATATTTACATAATTGTCTCAGTCATATTTACAGCAATTCTCTTAGCACTTGACAATTAAAAAAAATGTTACTTCTTATTAACATTAGTAGTAGTAGTAGTAGTACATGCATTTCTATACAGTGAGAACATTTAGCCATTCATGAAGCAATCACTTTAGATAAAATGTATATCATAAATACATGTACCCTGAGAGTTTGAAAATGGTGCACTTCCGATCTATGGGAGACACCATTGTTTTGTTTTTCACAAATTATCCAAAGCGACCAGCTCATTCATGGCAATACAACTTCAGAAATGTTCTTTAATGATACGGCAATTGTTTTCTGACAATGGACTGACCATAGTTTAACTAAATGAATGATTGGGGTCATTCTGATGCCAAGTCATGCATAGTGCCATTTTCAATCCACATGAATTAATAACTCCTGCGCCCAGTTCACATAGGTCACCATTGTATGGTTATATGAATTTTTTTGTAAATCTATAATCTTCTGTTCTCACACGCCAGACATTGCCTAATACTGTGGAATACTTTATTTTCGCTGGAATTAATTTTCGCTGATTTTTGATGAGTTTAATGTGAAATATAGAAAAAAAAGTATATTCGCTGGATTTTATTTTCACGGAATCATCCCTTCAGCGAAAATAGCGAAAATAAATTCCAAGCGAAAATAAAATATTCTACAGTATTACCATTTATAGCCTAATAGAAATATGTTATGATGAACACATTCTATACTATTCTCTATTCTTCTACTGCATTAAATTTTAAATTCCGTGCTTATATTCATAGATATTTATATCAGAGGCTTCCAGGGTGAAATTATGTCACCGCTGATATATAATTATTATTTTCAAGGTTTCAAACCCCAAACCATGGCAAACCTTAAAGAGGCACTTCCAGTTAAGCCTAATCTCACAACAAATTTACTTTCTGGATTAAAATTACAATGGATAACAAAAGATAGATTAACTTTGTAAACAACATAAACAATAGTGTCCCATGATTCTTTGGTGCAATCCCTGGGATTGAGCGGTTCTCCTTTAACTAAACCCTTTTACTCTTTTAATTTCATTTTAGTTTTTTTCATTGCTATACCTTTATTGTATTTTATAATCAAAGTCCCATAGAGGATGCAATAACAATAAACATTATTATTATTATTACATACCCCTAACTTACCCCAACCTGAACACTAATTTTTCACCCAAAACTGAATAATCCTGAAGTATTGCACTCTTGACTAGGGTAATTACAAATGGTGTATGACAGGACTATTACATACACATTTACTACTGTACACCAATGAATTATTAGTTATAAGGGTGTATTAATTCAGTGTTGTCATATAGAAATGATAACTTATTACTTTAATGATACAATTCGACTGTCGACCATCGATGTATATACACATTTACACATCAGATACAGGTGAACGAGTACATGTACTATAAATAGATATAATTAAGTGAACGGAGACGCACGAATGCCCGTTTGATTACCACTTCCGTAATAATAATCTATCTGAAATTACCTATCTTAAACATCCGTGGACACAACATTTCGTTAAACTATATAGTCCTATTAGATGAATCATTAGGCGCACTGATTTAATTGTGTCAAAGTTGACACGAATGCAACAATCGTTGGCAAGAGACGAACGATGACCTCACACGCACAATAGTAGTGACAGACTCTGGGTGGAAGAACAAGTTTCTGAACAAATGTCAGTAGATTTGTCAGGTTACACTAGATTTACACCGAAGCATGACTTGATTTAATATGACTTTGGTGTCACACAAATGTGTATCAATGTGATGACTAAAATAAAAAAATTATGTGTATTTTTGCTTACCACACTGTATCTTCTATGTCGGCCATCTTGAATCAGTGACGTTGGATTAGTCGCAAAAGAGTGACTACGTCGTAAAATGGATTTTTTAGTTTTGCGGCAATTTACAGTAACAAACAACCGACAAACGTACACGGGGGTCAAAGTTTTGTATGTTCACAACAAACACCATATCCCGTTACGTCTTCTCTTCCATAGCTCGCAATGATATCGACTTGTGTTTGAAGAACTACATAGAATATGTCTCGCCGTGCAAGCGTTCCATCCAAAGGTGAAAAGGTCACCGATTCCCTGCTCAAAGAACGAGTCCGTGAGGTGAGACGTATTCTTGAACAAGAGTAAACTCTGACAGTTATAAACAATTGTATTTATAACACAGTCGTAACTCAACTGTTAAACGTTATTGACAATAAACATGTTTCACAGATAAAGCAAACAATCGCTTGCGTTAACGTAGATTTCATCGATGGATGGTGATTGATATTTTATTAACATTTGTTGTGACAGGGGTTTCAGAGTTAACAGTTAACAGGGTTGGTGTACAAAGTTGAGTTAATATAACACTTTATCAGTTTTAGATAATGTTGCCATTGTTTCAAATTGTATCTCGCAAACTATTCTAATTCTATTGTTACCTGAGTGGTGTCTGGGTATGTTGCAAAGTCCCTCGGTAATTGCCTACCAGGTGCGGGAGTTGGGTGTATGCACAGTAAAAAAAAGTAAGCTCGCTCTAATATCAATTAGATCTGACAATGATGTGACAACACCATTTCGAGATTGGTCAATATTAAGAATTCATAACACTCATACTCCCCCATAAGAGGAGAGAAATAAGTATAAAATAGAAGTACCAGTTTTGGGTCTGTGGTTAATGACGGCCAAGTGAATTTCTAATTTTGTTATAATTTCATTTGATGAATTGATAGTAAGTTACTAAGTATTCTCAATTTAGATTTTAGCCGTGATTCTTGAAGTTATGCCTGTGGTGGCAACATTTAGTTTTCAACAATAGGATTTTAAAATGAACGGTGAAAATTATAATCTATTTTCATTTTTGAACATTTAATTTTATTGAATCACTTAGGGGGCCTTCACAGTTAGGTTTGCGTACTTTTAGTTGACAGGGAGCCCAACAATAAATGACAACAAATTAGAGACAAGCCAGTCAGGTCTGTTGTCATGCGGCTGTGGGAATTCGAAGACCCACAACTACTGTTCTAATAAAAAACACCCACTTTGTAATATTCATATAGTTCAACATATTGTCATGCATACTGTAAAATGACTAATTTTCACTGGGTTTAAATTTCGCTGATTTACCATTTCAGGCATATTCAGTGGGTTTTAAATTTACGGTTTTATCATTTAGATAATGTGTTCTATGGTAAATTTTACGTATTCAATGGGTTTTAATTTAGCGCATTTTCCAGTCAGCGAATTAAGCAAAATTAAAAGCCAGTGAATACTTAACCTCTTTACAGTACAGTATAAATGTACATTACATTACATTATATTGTAGAATTGAAGTGGTACTAACTGATACATGACCTTGTTACCAGACAAAGTATTGAGCTGCACCACAGTTAACAAAAGATATCAGCCTGAACACTTCATTTAAAAATGTGAATATGGATGGACATTGCACGATTCAACTCCAGCCCTAAAATCACTCATTCAACACTTTCAAGCACTGAAGTGACGATTTCAAAAAGGGGATAACACTTTTGAATAATAACTAACGAATGACTGGTTGATTCTCTGCACGAGAATGACAACATTGTTTGTACTTTGTTGTTTCTTTTGATGTCAAGTTATGTAAAACTCTCAGCACATTGCCTCACAATATAAAACGGACCAGAAAATAACTCAAAAGTCCCCCAATAATATTCCAACTTGTATTTTCTGAAAATACAACTGAATTTTGTTACAATGAAAAATATCACAGTTCTATAGTGTGCATTGCAGGTCATCATGTAAACGAAGCATGAAATAATAACTTACTAGAAACATTGTTGATTCCACTAGCCCATTATCTATCATTATTCTCATTCGGTCCATGGCCACCGACTCAATGTGCAAATAACTTCAAATTGAAAATAATTGAAATGAAATTACACAAAAAATAGATTCTAGAAAATATTAGAAATTCACTTGGCTGTCATTAGCCACAGACTCTTCAACAATATACAAGTCACACAACACTGACACGACAATAATTTCAACAACTACTTTATTACTGGTAAAACAATGTGGTTATAAGATTACTAAACTTACTAAACACCTATTTTCAAACAACTTGATGTCCCTAAATTGTGCACATACTCAATTTGTAATTTTGTATATGATATTATCCATGGTAATCTTCCACACACTCTGCAAACATACAACTTTAAGTACATTCAGCACTGTCACAATACCAGACAAAGGCACCGATGTGACTGACTTGTTCCAAAAATGAATAGAACTATAGGCCAATTTTCAATCTCGTATTTAAGAACTAAATTATGGAACAGTCTGCCTGGCACATTAAGATCACAACCAAAGCATATATTCAAACAAAAACTGAAGGATTTACTATTGGCGAGATACACCACATAACTTTATATTGCTGTTTTATTATATTCTTCGCTTTTGTAAAAACAGTATTTCATGAAGTACTATATGGCTGCATTTTTTTCTATTTACTTATCCAGTTTAGCGCCAAATATTTAAATTATTGTATATTTATTTATGTTTAAAGGAATTTGACAAGATTAGCTTCCTAAAGCTATTTCAAATTCCTTTTACCTGTAAATATATTTATTTTATTTCAGAATTGTATTTTTCTCAAATAATATGGGTAATAAACCATCATATCATATCATATATCATATCATATCATATCATATCATATCATATCATATCATATCATATCATATCATATCATATCATATCATATCATATATCATATCATATCATATATCATATCATATCATATCATATCATTTAACATATGTATATTTATACGTAGCGTCACACAGTAATAATAAACAGTAATGAAATAAGCAAGAATAATGGATTACAATAATATTTGGTTATTAAATATTAATTGTCCAGATGATATCATATGAAACTTGTATGAACAAACTCATGTGCTGGTTAATTTTTTCACTTATGAAGGTCAAGTGAATATACAAAGTTGTCCACAGAATATATTCTTTCACAAACCAGTGAATTTAAAAACTTCATGATATGATTATTTCTCAGCTTGAAAGTGAAGTATCCTCATTGAAGAGAAGATTAGATGAGTTAAGAAAAGCTAAGAACACCACTATATTGAAAAAAGAAAAGCAGTATGTGTCAGTTGGAGAACCAAGCATTTCAAAGTAAGACTATAAACTGAAAAAATCTGTGTTTCCAGTAACAGGCTAGCTACTATACACTGTTTCACTGCTGGAAATTTTTTTTGTAGACAAAATTTTGCAAAATGTTTACAGCTACAAAACTTCATGATTTTCATTGCCTTTTAAAATTTGTGAACTTTTTACAGTAAATATTGTGGTAGACAGATTTTTTTCTACTCATTATTTCCTTGACATTAAAACACAGTGAATATGCTAAAAACATAAAAATAGTGAAATTAAATGCCTGTGAAAATAAATAGTTTTACAGTAGTCCCTATTTAGATGTAGTCTAAAATTGGAAACTTATAATTTCACCTCTGTGTGTCCTTCCATCTGTGCATCTGTTTGCATCTGTATCTCAGATAAGCCTAAGCCAATGTCATTCAAACCTCACACACATTATATTATACATACATGTACATATGTATATGCAGTTGTGTTTTTGATCCAATTCAAGATGGGAAATTTCATCATAATTTCTGCCATTCAGAAACTGGATCTTAGTCATGCATGGATATATTTTATTTCTAACTGGTATTAAACACGAAGAGTCATTGATGCACATCATTTTTTTGACAGATTTGATTCAAAATGGCTGACTGATGGCCATCAAGTTCAAACTTTACACATACATCTGTTTCAAAATCTGATTCAAGATGACTGATCACCATTTTCGTGTTACAAATGCATTATGAATGTCATCACACAAATCACACAAACAAACTGGCTCCACTTTGTACAATGTCTGTCACATAAGTGTAAATAAGTATTGTCATTGACTTACGGTAATTTTTTAAAATACATTTTAATATGCAAATTTAGTTATCATTACAATGAGAGTTTTCACTTGTGACCACTGATTTATGTAGAGTTCCTAAATTGTTATAGGATAATTAGATATTCTGATAGGTACAGATTCTATAGGAAAAACTGTGATAACAACATAATGAACATTGAGGGCGCTGTTTGGAGGAGTTAAATCATTCAGTGACTGAAAGTCCCATTGGAAGTCTCTTGATGTCATTAAATTTGGTTTCGATGATCTACAAAAATATGACCCATTATCCAAAATATCACCCAGGGTGTTGTTTCAGATAAATACAGTTTATTTTAGTTTGTACAGGTATCTTTCACCCTGTTTCTGAAGCGGTTAAACATTTTTGTAATTTACTGATAAAAGCAGCATAGCATTAACCACCTACTGTTTTATCCTCAGTAGAAGCTCAATACAATATGTATATTGTATTGAGTCCGAAAGACTGAGAGATACACACATACTCTCTATGTCTGAATTACCTGTTCTTGTTTTTTTTGGTCATTCCAGTAGAATGATTTGAAAAAGTTTGACTCTTTGCAGATCAACTACTGATAACGGAAAAGTTAGTGATTTACAAAAACAGATTGAACAACTGAAAATAAAACACAGCAAAGAACTGCAAGATGAAAAAGTGAAGGTAAATTTTAAATTGTGTAATAAAAGTACATTACATAAACATAGATTGCACTTCAATTTTGATAATAATGTAATTTATACAGTAACATTTATTTTATTGGAAAAAACACTAAAAAAAAACAAAGAAGAGACTGTATGCAAGTCTAGATCATTAGCAGCCTGTGTTTGCTATAAGGATACAGAGGAGAAATATTCAACTTCTGTATACAGGAAAACAAAGACTGTGGACATGCCTCTGTCATTGACCAGATGACAAAAAAATGTGAAGTCTTAGAAAAGGAAAAACAGGAAGCGTTATACTTGAATGATATCATGGGTAAAGAAAACCAAGAACTGAGTGAGAAATATCAGCAATTACTGACAGAACTGAGTATAAAGGAAGCAGAATGGTGTGAAAAAGAGGAACAGCTTAATATAAAAGTATGTAGGGCAGCAAAATCATGCAATTATGAAATACCATTTTATATAATAAACATGTCTATATTCAAGGAAGTTTTTGATTTAATACATACTTTACATTTATTTGTTTGTTTGTTCATTCATTCATTCATTCATTCATTCATTCATTCATTCAACTTTGACACAATGGGTTACATAGATGACCAGCACCTATTAAATAGTGATCCTCCACAATTACACATAAAAAATAAAAATTTCAAATTACCAGTATCAACAAATTGTTTTTTGTGGTTTTACAGACCCATGTACAGAAATCTGTTTAAAAAAAATTATTGTGATACAAATTAGTTGTGATTTACTTAAGTATCAATTCTTCATTTCCGCTTGGAATTTATTTTCGCTGAAAGGATGCTTTAGTGAAAATAGATTCCAGCGAATATACCTTTTTCCTATATTTTACATTCAACTCATCAAAAATCAGTGAAAATCAATTGCATACAAAACACCCAAGTATTTTCAGTGAAAATTAATTCCAGCTAAAATAAAGTATTTCACAGTATATGATTTAGTACTTGCATGGATTGTTTCAAGATATGGATATTTATTCCATAAATAAAATGTTTTGGTTTTGAATACTGACAGCTTTAAATCACCGCTCCATGTCATGGTTGATAAAATGAATACAACACAGAATTTTGAAAATCATTTACACAAAAATGAAATACTCATTACATTAGGAGTGTGTTACTATATATGCTGATGATGATGATGGAGGATTCTATATAATGTGTATTGTGTTATATACTAGAAATTGATTGCATTATTTTGCTTATAGTTATTCATATCATCTTTTTCAGCTCAAGTTACAATGGGGAGAGAAGTACAGAGAATGGATGCAACAAACTGAACAGAAAATTGCAGATTTACAGAAAGTCAATCAGTTTTTGTAAGTATATGTTTTCAGGGATGTTTTTAGCAAACCTTGTTGAATTTCTAATCAATCACACATTTGTATTTAATGGCATTTTATAATTTCAAGCCAAGTCTGAACAGTGTGTTGCTGATGAATCAGATCTTTGAGTGTAGCCACATTGGTGCAGTGAAACCGAGAGAGTTCATCATCTTTGCACTTCTAATAGCTCAAATACAGTACAAATCTTTTTGTTTGAACATTTTGGAGTAGCATCGGGGTTCACCACAATACTGTAAAAGCGTTATATTATTCACTGGGTTTTAATTTTGCTTATTTCGCTTATTTGGAAAAACCCAGTGAATATGTAAAATTGAGCATAGAACACATTATCTAAATGATAAAACCATGAATTTATAACCCCTTGAATATGCCTGAAATGGTAAATCAGCGAAATTTAAACCCAGTGAAAATTAGTAATTTAACAGTAGTTGAAGAGTTTGTCAATAAATTAGCCTGGGTACCAGAGTATCTTTGGTTTTCTACTCTCTATAGAAATCAGGAATTTCTTCTAATATTTTGCCTCTATGGTCAGTAGGATATTCATCTCTTGCAATGATACCCTGTACTATTATTATACTGTGTATCAATTATTTTAAAATAGAAACACAATTTTGGACATTTGTGATAAGCTCTATGTGTAAGCTTTAAGTTTTTATATTTTCAACTGCAGAGAGTTTAAATGTAGCAAAAGACTAATACACCTTTAATTTAAATTTAAAACAAAGCAATCAAATTAACAATTAATGATATTTGAGAACAAAATAATAGATAATGTTACTTTCAACACTGAAAAATATGGATGTTTTTTTTTTTTCAGGAGAACTCAGCTGCAGACCCAGGCACCTAAAGACGATGATCCTTTCTCATAGAGAAATGAAAGGATGGAGCATTATCATTTGTTTCCATGGTGACCTCTTCCCAGCATGCATTTTTCTATATGCACCAGTGTAAACTGTCATTTTTAAACCGTGTTATATAAGTGATTACCAATATAGTAGTGCAGGTACTTGAGGTTCAGGTGATTAGGAACAACAGGTGCTATCTTATGTCAAACATTTTTATTATATTTATTTATTTAAATATCACTCACATATTTTCTGTCGATGGTTTCCACAAGCTAAAACATAGTATACAATTAACAAACTACATTACCATATGAAAGCACTTGACTGTATTTAACCTGAATCTCTCAAAGATATTATCAAGTATACAGATTAATAATTTAGAATTACTCTTCACAAAGGTATCGGTAATTTTGCCGTTGCGTCTAAAGAACCGAAATGGATTATCCAATGCTTCAAAATTTCTTCTAATTTCATAATATTTCTTACACAAAAGTGAAGCCGCATCGTGTTCATTCCATTTTACCATACAGTTTTTTTTTTTTTATATAGTTGCTCATGAAAGCCAGAAAAAAATGTATGGTTACCAAGCACCCATAAAAATGACCATTTTTGGGCCATTTCCCATTAGTTTCTATGGTGAAAAATTAACACATAGAAAAATAATTACCGGTATATGTAGTTATAAGATTGGGTCTTTATGCTTGTATCAACTTATGGTCGGCAAGAAAAGATGGTATGTGCAAGACAATGTTTTCACTATGACTGCCAACTAACAACTGGTTTATTCACTAAGAAATCTATAATTAAATTACATTATTATACATCTGTCACCATAACGCCACAAGTTACAGCGTGCCATAATTTAGCGGTATTTTACGGGGTATTTTCATCCTACCATATAAGGAAATGCGAATTCCAAATATGGAATCATTACACACATAAGCGTCCTCTAATAATAAAAACAAACATGGCTGCCACCAGAGTTTAACCGGACTCCACACAAAGAAGTTTGCTGATTCTGTTCTTAAATTTAAGCTTTCAGCATCCCATGATGTATCCTTGGAAGGAAAAGATGTATAATAATAAGGTTATTACGAGGATACCTCAAAGTATACACTAAGACTGTACACAGACCCATTGACCTCTGCTGTGCATCAGTACTCCCGCTGTACTGTCCTCGTACATACTTTGAGCTATCCTCGTAATAACCTCATAGTATATGATACAGGAGGAGGGGTTAACTAAAGCTATTTGTAAATAAACAATAAGTGATAAAACAATAATGGCTATCTATAGCTAAAAAGTAATCTAAGCAATAATTGTCAATAAACTTATTCGATATAGAAATAATTCAAGGATTACCTAATGTAATAGCGACAACATATAAACGTATGAATAATTAAGTTTCAAAACATTAAATCTTGAGTACAAATTAAGCGACTCAATCGTCACACATTCCATTATCTTGAAAAGTGTCATGAATCTTTAACTTTGCAATAGTGGCAGCTGTGAATAATGAAAATATTTTCTATTTTGACCATAGAAAAAAAACTCTTATTTTTGTAAGCACATGTGCTACCGGTACTAAAAAAATAAATGTTTTTTTTTCAGTGGATGGTGATGTGTTGATAAAACCGAAAGAAAATAGTTTTCATAGATAGAAATTGCTTTTATAAACATGATGATTACAATGATTTTACGAAAAATCCTACTTGAAATAAAGTGTTTTGAATTATCTAAATTGAATTATTAAACCTTTTCATTTGATTGTACATTTCCAAATGTCAATAACGCATATGGTAGAAACGTTTTTAGAAAAACAATGACAAACTGCATAACGTTTTTTACCAGTCACATTTCATGCATAAATGTGCTGGAACTACTCAGTAAAGTGGATCTTCATGGATGAAAGTTGTCACCCAGTGGGAAATCAGGTTCTCTCTTTCACTTCTAAGAGTTTTCTATTCAATATAAAACCAGTAATTGTATAAAATACTCCATGCAAGTATTTCAAATGTAGTCCAATCTGAGTAAAATCTAATGTATTGTACCGCATGTATTTTTTATTATTTTGTAATTTTTTGTCGATTTTTTATTTATTATATGCATCTTGTTTTTTGAACTTTTTATGATTACCAAAAACTTTAAAAAAACTACCAGTACAGTTATTAAATAGTATATTAAAATAGAATGAAATATGTATGAAAAAACAATAATTGAATACATATTTAAAAGAAAACTACTAGGATCTGATAATAATCAAATTGTATTTAGACTTGAAATAAATTTGTCTATAGAGTGCAAGTTCTGCAAGATTAATTTTACACTTAATATATGATACAACCAATCAGTGAATACAAAATATGTACATGTAAATTTGTAAACAGAAACACAGTATATTTTTATATAATGCCAACAAAAAGATTTATTTCTTGAAAGTATGCATGTCAGTTTGAAAGGTACATGTCACATTTTTTCTGTGATTTTTTCTAAAGTATTAAAATGATAGCCAGTCTTAATACACAAATCTGGTACATTTGTTGGCAATGTACATGTATGTATGTATGCATTATAGTATGTGTATTCCATATATTATGGCAGTTTAGTGTGTTAAAGCCGTGTAATAATTTTTATATCTTTGTACAATTCCCAGTAATTGATCCTTGGAAGCAGATTGAACTTGACATGGCTCAGTATGTACAGAGAGTGGAACATATATTGAATGAGTGTATGCTGCACTTCTTTTCCCTCATTGTTTCTTTCACATCTCTGTTCTAAGTTTACTTTTAATCAGTCTTCAGAGGTCAAACTCTAGTGACTTCAGACTATGTTATGTGATTCTTTCTATGTGAATATTTGTATTGACATCTGAACACTTAATTGATTTTTGTATATTTTGATTTTACTTAATTTAAAAAATAATTCTTACAAAGATGTATTTGTATCATTGTACATATACCAGAAATAAATGAGAAATGTTTTTATGATTAATTATAATAACACAAGATTTGAGTTGTTTTTTTCAAAAACTACCGGTACTGTAAATTCAAGACAAAACTTTCATCACAATTTATGTACCAAAATTATAAGAACCTTGAGTGATATTAGTCATTATGAATTTATTGGTTTCAATATGGCAACTATTTCCTTACCCAAATTGTACTGCTCCCTGGCTGTGTCACAGTGTAAGGCCTGCTTATTGCTATTAAGAGGGGCATCCACAGAACTCACACTGGGCAGGGGGTTCTTTCACTGCTAGTATGGGGTAGACAAGACAATAGCACTGGAAATGAAATACACATAAACAAAAATATCAAGTTAAAGCGCCTGGCTTTAATACTTCTCAAAATAATTACAAGATCATGTATCAGTCTAGCATATTTATAAATGGCCCAGATTCAGGGACACCACCTGGGTTTTCACATGAGCCAATCAGAATGTGGTCTTGCCAGCAGCTGTCTGATGTAGGCAACTCAGTAGATTCTTTGATTATGTAAATCTGAAGCACACCTGGTAGATCCCAATCATCCTTCTAGAGTTGTAACAAGTATGACCTGTCAATCACCTTTATGACAGTTATCACAATGCACACTGTTTCTTCCCATGATTCCATGCACACTTATTTGCAGGGTTTGTGGTAATATGACAAAAACATAAAATAAAGGATGCTGACACTATGCAATAGGGAAACCAAACAAATTAACATTAAAAAATTGCATTATTGACTACGTAGTAGTAATATTTAGTATAGTGATACAGATCTAAGTCTAACGTATTACATAAATTGAAAGTACAAAATCTCTAGCCGAACACTCATTTGTACTCTACCACAGGTAGTTGTGATCATTTCCAGAGAATGCTTTACGCAGGTACTATTTTCAGCCTATGACCACAGGGAGCACGTCGAGGTCACGACTCGGTTAGCTATGCTCAACTGGTTTGTAACCAGTCTTGTGATTGGTTGTTGACAAATTTTGAACAGGCCACGCCTCCAACTGTGCCGTGCGTTCCGGCAAACCGTTAATTAGTCGTAAATGGAGTCAATTTGTGTAGTTTTCTTGATTTATTCTGCAGATATCGGTAAAATATAGGCAGGGCTTTGGCGAAGTTTGAAAGAGCAACTAATTTTCTTCAACCTGGTATTTTTTATAGATTTTATTTTTCACTCTGTACATCTATTTTTTCCATTTTTTTTGAAAAATACGAGCTGGCTGGAGCATTCATCCCTTGTCTATTTCTTACACTAGATACCAGCCGATACCCCCCCCCCCCCCTCATAGGGAGTGTGTACAGTTGATCATAGTTCCTGGGCTCCCTGTGCTATGACTGGATACAAAACAAAGATATGATCAAAGTTATTCCTCATCTTCTTTTAAACACATACCCGGTAATTTCCTCAGTAATTCATTAGATTTTTTTTTTTTTTGTTACTACTCCTGGGTGTTGATCGAATTACACCTTGTAGGTAATTTATAGTCAACGCAGGTTTCTGGGGATGACATGAACTTCATCAGTATGTGGTGAAATTTATATATTCGCAGACATGTTAGCAATGTATTATTTTCCACTTGCAGATATCTGTCATAGTGCTCTGTTTTAACATGCCAAGTAAAAACACCGTGGTCTGGTACACTCCCAATAGGCCATACTTCCGATTTATTATGTACACGAGCGTTATGTATACATTTCCTGAATTGGGACTAAACAGTGATCTATTACTGTGAAGCCTCCAGTAAAGACCGACGTTATAACAATTATAATCGTTATTTTCCTTTCCATTTAACATACAAAATCGACTGTCTTCACAAAAGTTAACAACTTACTAGTATATAAATGTCATAAATCATTGTGGGAACAGAACTGACTGGTAAGATTTAAGTTTTTGTCTTTGATCTGTTATCATTTGCTGTTAGGCCGTCGAATGAAATATGGAAATGCAAATAATCCAAAAGAGGAATTTAAAATTTTGATTTTCATGTTCATTTCAAAATCCTATTGTTGAAACGTCGAAATTAAAATCGTCGTATGCTCTTGTGTAATCTTATTCAGGATCTTCCCAATTTCCATTAGTGTTAGTGTTTTTCAGATCCTTAATGAATTCTTAACGAATGTATAAAATAATTAGCGATAATTACAACGTGTCAGTGGGAGTGATTGGTGATGAATTTGAGGAAGTCTTCGTATAAAATGTAACATATAGAAGAACAACTTGGTGATTTGATTTGATTTAATATGATTCCTGTTTATCATCTATTTTACACTCTTCAATCTACACAGATCATGCACCTTTTGTAGAATTGGACTTGGTTTAAGACTATGTAGTTATAAAAGTGAATAAATAAAAAAGTCTAAAGGAATGGGCTATCTCTACTGTATGTCAATACACATATACACGCGAAAAGGAAGAACAGAGAACATTGTGTAGGGATGCAAAAGTAGGTTTAATCAATAATGAAACTGAATTTTAAAAAATGAAAAAAAGTTTTAAAATATTGACCAGCAACTCGTGAAGATGTTCTGAAACCATGGTGTAAAAATTATGATGTGTTTCAAAAAAAAAAAAAAAAAAATATGAAATAAAAAAAAAAAGATGATAAACAATATAAAACCAAAAGTTGTCATAGTATGAATGAATGAATTTTATCAAATATTTGGATATAAAATTAACTTTCAGTCTCCAGTATTCTAATCAAATATTGTTGAACATGTCTAGCAAGTTTGAATACAAAGCTTATACGAACGTGTCGTCAGATGGGGGGGGGGGGTTCTCCCCAACGTGTCTGGTATTTATCGTGTTTTTATTAGCCAAATGTTTATGGAAATGGATTTATATTTTCCAATATTACAAAAATTATGGCTAAATTGCTGAAAACCATCTACGAACATTGTTTTTCGCAAAATATATCTATCGACTTCAAAACGATAGAATATTATTTAATAAATATTAAAAGAGCACCACCTCTGAATATCCATTCAAAAGTTTGTGCATTTTGTGCACTTTTCCGATTACATAACACATTAAATTCGGTGATTCTCCTTGCCTATCAAAATGACAGTAATCAAAACTGAATTGTACATTTATTTACAACTTAATATGCCACTGACAATGAAAAGATCAGTGCATGCATGTCGAATATATGGACTAGGAACTGCATTCTTTGAAACAAAATGGCCACCAGTCGCCAATTTTGAACTTGACACGAGAAATAAACTTAATTGCATTGAGGCCCAATTACGTTCAAGGTCTGTACCAAGTTAGAACAGAATCCGTCCATTCAAGACGAAGGTCGGGTTCCGAAAAGGTGAAAAAGTGTAACTTCGATGATTTTGGCCTTAAAGTGGCTGCCAGTTGGCCATCTTGAATGGAATCATGAAACAAATTCATGTGCATATGTACGATATAATGTCTGATGCAAGTGTTTGAACTTGACCGGCCTAAGCATGTGTAGGATATGGATACGTACGCACACCCGGAAAGACGCACTCACGGAGGTCAATTCGTTAGTTAAAACGGTGGATATGTTTAATTGCTTCTTGTCTCGTGTTGCGTGTTTCAATCTCACTAGTTTGTTACATATGTGTATTGAAATTACATAAAGTATGTTTGAGAAACTATCACTGTCGTATTTCAAGTTCAATATCATCTTCATTGAAGATGGGATTTCTAATACCCAGTTGGGTACCAAACTGTCCTGCTTGAGAAAACCTGGCCATGGTATCATGGGATATGGTATGGATGGAAGTGGTTTCCGAATGCAAATCTTTTGGATTTCGATGGCGGATGTTCTCTGGCGTCGATTCCGCTCCCATTATCTGTAATTTTTGCTCGACCATTCTCTGCTTCAACGTTTTGTATCGAGATTTAGTGTAGCCGTCTTCATTAACTTTCGATACGTCATACGCTGGTAACGGTACACTGCCTGTCTTCTGAAGACTGCCTTCGAGTTGTGATATTCGATTCATCACATCTGTTGTGATGTCTTGTACATTCTTCCTGCAATACAAGGACACAAAGAATTGTTTTAGTATCAAATTCGTGAATTTAAATCCCAGTGAATATGATCAATACGATTATTAAAATATCCATGAATTTCAATGCCCACAGTAAGCTATCACTTAATGTAGTACATGTATATCAATTCAATGGTGGCATTAATGCGGATATTCTATGGGTTAGTTGGTCGTAATAATGATAAATAATCTCACATTAGCTAAATCAATAATAAAACACACCTGAATGACGTCATCTCATCTCTAAATTCTTTGAATTCTGAGAGAGTTAATGGATTTGAATCATGATGTCGGTTTACATACTGTCTTCTGGCAAAATAACGTTCTACAAGTTGATGAACAGTTTTCTGAAGGAAGATGAAATCAACACCAATCAACAAGTGTCACGTGATACTTATAAATACATTAACATACACAAACATATCCACCGGAAAATTAAAAAAAACAGACAATGTGTAAGTGTGAGAGGTGATAGATTTGTATTGTGAGTGCGTTGTTTCGTTGGGCTTACTACGATAACTACGAATTTGTGTGCATGTCGTCTCGGAGATTCTCACAAGACTCGTGTCCTTTGTCTAGTATCGCAATTGGTGAAGAATTGGTTAGTGCTTCGTCAAGTGCTAGAAACTTAGGTGTCTTGTTTGATTCGCAGCTATCTATGGAAACACACATTTCTACTATTTGTAGATCTGGATATTCCCATCTAAAAAATATAATCGTATTCGTAAATCATTATCCCAATCTGATACTGAAAAGTTGGTACATGCTTTCATATCTTCTCGCTTAGACAGCTGTAATTCATTATTGTCTGGTCTCCCTGTAACTAAGATAAAACCTCTTATTCGTGTACAAAATGCAGCAGCCCGCCTTGTCACTCGTGCTCGAAAATATGACCACATTACAGACATTTTTATTAAACTTCATTGGTTACCAGTTGTACAAAGAATCAATTTCAAATTACTTTTACTAGTGTATAAATCTTTGTATGGTTTTGCCCCAAATTATCTATGTGAATTAATCGAATTTTATGTACCGAGTCGTAGTTTAAGATCTGAATCGAAGTTTCTTATTAAAACTCGTCAGATGTGTAGTAAAAAGTCCAAGGTGTTATACAAAGACCGTGCTTTTGAAAATTTAGGTCCTAAACTTTTTAATGAATTACCTCTGTCTGTTCGTTCTAGTCCTTCAGTAGACATTTTTAAATCCAGACTGAAAACGCACTTATTTAAATGTGCTTTTAATATTTGACTGATTGTTTATTGTATCAGCGCCTTTGATCTTCATATGTTGGAATTGTTGCGCTTAATTAAATAGAGTTATTATTATTATTATTATTATTAAGTGTGAGAGGTGATAGATTTGTATTGTGAGTGCGTTGTTTCGTTGGGCTTACTACGATAATATGTCACATTATGTATTTGTTGTACATGCACGTGTAGTGTATATGGCATGAGACTTACGCGATAATAAACTTCTTTCCGTTTCAGCATCTCCAAGTTTTTCTTAAAATAAACAAAGACGGTTTATTCATGGGTCGCTGTATCACATGGGTATACATTGATTGATGTTACCATATAGTAACGTAATTTAAAGCGGGGGAGTCGTCACCTGTGCATGCGTTAGATGGCCATAGCGTGGTACCGTATACAAATAATTATTACATTGAGACTCAATAAAAGATATTGTTATACATCTGTCACCGTAACGCCAAAATTTACAGGGTGCCGTAATTTTGCGATATTGCACTGGATATTTTCATCCTACCATATTAGGAAATGCGAATTCCAAATATGGAATGCTTACACGTCCTTTAAGAAAAATAAAAACAAACATGGCAGCCTACAGGGTTTGACGGGACCCCCATACGAAGAAGTTAGCTCAATCTGTTTTAAACTTTTTGTATTTCGGCATTCACATGATGTATCCTTGGGTGGAAAAGATGTATAATAATAAGGTTATTACGAGGATACCGATACTCCCACTGTACTGTCTTCGTGCATACTTTTCGGTATCCTCGTAATAACCTCATAATCATAGTAGTGTGATATAAATGAAGAAATTACCTTTGGATTTCTCCTGCATGGTGTACAACAAAATATAGACTTTAGGAAATAGAAAGCAGATTTTGGGCTTGGTATAATGTTGAATGGTACAGGTAGAGTACCGCCTTCCTGGAAGTAACCCACCCACATCTCAGCCCGATAGAACTTCCATTCAATGTCTGCATTGTCCTGCAAACCAATTTAATATCTGATGATTAGGAATGACTTTCAGAATGATTTTGATTTTTTTAGTGCATGTTGTTATAGTTACTGAATTGTCATGTACTAGTATTTCATCATTGCTGGACTTAATTAACTATGATGACGTCATCTTACCTGTACTTTAGAATACGTGTTACTCATAATAGCAATAAGTAGGTTTAATAAAACGATTACAGCGATTATCATATACATAGCGTAGAGAAATCGTCCAAACCCTTCCGATGATTGGTGATCGGCTTTCACGTTCAGATCTGTCAGATCAGTAAGGTCAAATAAAGACCAAAACAGAGTGGCCATACTCGAAACAACACTGCAAAAAATCACATAATGGTCATTGTACCGCATTTGTATTAATAATTGTACAAAAGAAAACAAACACACACATATACAACATGAAACACTTAAAGCGCGGTGGTTGTCGCGCTGCGCATGTGCCATATTTGTGTTGATAAACATTGATTTTCCCATAATCCAAAGCGCTCTTCAAATGGAAATCACAAGTATGAGGTTTGACCTGGGCGCGACAAGCACCAAATACCACCGGTGACACCTTCGATACCTTCCAATCACCTAAAAAATACCCAATTAAAGCTTGGAAACGTCCCAGTTTGTACTTGTTGATCTGCACAACTGTCAGTCGCCATCTTTGTTCATATGAGACCCATATATCTCGCGCGTGCGTAGCGCAACGACTACCGCCCTTTAAACTGCAGTTGAAGGATGAACTATTGTAACATTTACAGTAAAACTACACACATGCTCGTCATTAAAACAAGTTAAACAATTTAGAAGTTAAAGAAGAATTCGATATTTATAATTGGGTGCATAGAAATGCGCCCTCTCTGTCCCAGAATTCATTTACCTGCCGAATGGTTGTTTGTCACAGTCTGTCGCATTCGGTGTTTGATAACATTGCACTTCTGCCTCGGCATTGTACGACCAATATATCTGTGTCAAACCAAGAGAAAAAGCCGTCCAAGCACAAAAAAATATAAACAAAAATTTAAAGATATCCAAAACAATCTTCTGAAGTGTGATTTGCATGGGTCCGATCTTCTGACTGATAACGGTAAGTCTGAGGATGCGCAGAACGCTGAGAACATTAGCAACTGCAAAAATACAATTAGCAATTAGAGTTGGGTCCCACTGATTCCACTGAGAACGTGGGATAATGTAGGATAGATCATCTTGGAATTCATGGAAGAAGGAATCTTCCTGCCACCATATCTCATCATACCAGTCGTCAAGAAATGAGAACTCGAAATCTATGTCATTGTCCTGTGTCGTTGTGACATTCGACAGTGTCTCTGGTGTTATGATTTGCCCTATGGCATTGCCCAATGTTATAATAGACTCTTCAAGTCTTTCGTGTGATATCTGCATTTCTGAAGAGAGATTCCTAATAATATCGCTGGCTATAGATGCGATCTGTTCTTCTGTAAAGACACGGGTTCCATTGTGTTGTTGTCTGACAAAATCATCTGTCGTCTGCCGTTTACTCACTGAAATTATGCTTCCATCAGCAGTAGCAAAGTTTGGTATATACTGTCAATGTAAAACAAATCACATTCATTAGCCTACAGGAATGGCACACGTCATCAATTAGTGCATATGATATATAGACGTCATAAGATGCTCCACAAAATAGTGATGCGTCGTTGATGGCAGTCTTTACACCCTACATTGTACATTACATTTCTTGTTGAAAACGCAAATCATTTATGAAACTACAGACAATTAAGAATAATAGGAGTGATATGAGTCAGTTAGTTGTCTTTGTTGCACTTTTGAAATGTACTGTATATGATGTTTTTTGATTAGTAGACTAAAATAAACTAAAAGTGTGGCGCGTCATTCAAATTCACGTAAACCCAGCACTATGACATTCGCCTCCAAGGTTTCGAACACATTAAATTACAATGCCAAAACAGTCGCTTCTAAAAAACTAAACAGTGACCCCAAAGTAAAGAAAAATCTGTACTTACATCATTTACCTGTAGATATGCGACAATCCGCAGTGCTATAACAGCCCAATATAATGCCAACTGACTCCAATCTATGAAATTATAAGGATCGCGTAAATATGCAGCAATGCCACCACTCCAGAGTTCCTTAATCTCTCTCCATGTCATGCCTGTAGTACAGTAACATATGGTATATTATGACTTGAGGTTGAAGGTGACCCCATTTCACTGTGTTACATTTTGCCTGTATATCCACACTGCCCGTCAATAGCTAAATTGCTGTCATCATATGAAGTATTGGATAATACTACTAAACGAAATCATAGTATTCACACCCACTTGCTTTTTTTTCTCTCATAGTTGCTGTCGACATAGGAAGTAAAGTAAGCAAATAACACCGAATAAACGGCAAGGTAAAGACTATGTCTAATTATAGTAAATACGTACTGCGTGCGTGACTCGAACCGGCGCTCGCGTACGGCACCTAATCGCCTAGCTTCACGCCACCACACGTCTTTTTGCTTTTTTTTCTGGTGATTCGTACGCTCGAACTTGTTCTTGCTTCTTTATACTACTATTTATGTTAATTAGAATATGACTAACGGAATGTTTAGAGCCTAGGACTCAAAACACAGTCGGTTATTTTACGTTTTAGGTGTATTTTGTCTGTAGCTCATTTGCGGGGTTTGTGTTATCACAGCGTATGTGTTACGCAACTCCTTTTGTATAACTTCTGTCTACTTGATTGCCCTTTTTAATAAATAGCTATTTACAAATATATTTTGATGGGAAATAGACTAGACTAGCTCTGCATGAGCTAATTTCTGTTTCCCAGCCATAGATTAATATTATTATTATTTATTAGTTATTATTTATTGCTGTATTGTTATTTTTTTATGTAATCTATGGCAAATAAACATTATTATTATTATTATTATTACAATATGCCAATGATCTGTGGATCTGTGGATAAAACACTTATAAATATGTGTATCATAGACTACATGTTGCATTCCAACAACATTCTGCTTAGCTCATTCAGTGATATGAGAAGGGGGGCAAGGGAGATAGCTGGTACAGGTTACAGGAAATAAAAAAAAAACATTTTACGTTTTTACAGCCTGAGGAAATACAATGACATTTCCACTCACAGTAAAAAATATATTTTTACATTTTACAGATAAAACAAATTCCTAATTACAGTTTACATTTTCATAATACCCCCGGTATATTTGATTATTTGTGTTTAGGATGCTTTATAGGCTTACAAAAAATAAGATCTTTGTACAATTTACAGACGAATAAAATAGCTGATTACATTTTTCTCCTTGCCCATGTCTACAAATTTAATTTTTTTTTATTTATTTAAATGACATTATTACGAAAACAAAAACAATAGATTACAGCTTACGAAAATACCCCTTGCCGACCCTCATATGGACCATGCACCAACACATGTACGCCTCTTCGATCTGTATTGTTTGGTAAGGAATGTAAAGAACAACGAAACGGTACTTCCATAGCAAATGCTGATAAAGGACGCTGTACGTTTTCGGAAGTAAACATTCATCGCTCTCTGCATGAGTCAAACGGCAATATAGGTATTTAACTACACAGAGCTCGATATATCGATGTCGCCAGCATAAAATAACATATACAAATATTTTTTTGTTGTTGTAAATTTGTATTAATTCACAACCAGTTATGCGTCATAATTTCAAGTTCGTCTCATTTCCTTTCTAACATAGAATTTTATATCGATATATATTGTTCACATTATCAATAATATCTTTCTCATCTAATGCCAAAACAGTGTCGAAAAAGGCTTTTGTGGGTGGTATCACCAATACCAGCAAAAAATAAGTGCAATAAGTTAACTAAAACTAATAATGCAATTTAATATAATTTATTTAAAAACATATTTGGAGACAGTCTGGTGATAGCTCGTACTGTATTAGTTAATCTTTTGGTATATATATATATCAGCAATTTTAATATAAAATAGGTACATTTTTCTTAGTAATAGTGACACATGTTGTTTAGTTTGATGAATCCCCACGGTTGGTTACAAGAGCATAGAAGTTTATAATTAAAATTGTTTTCCATAAAAAACACGATGAAACCATCATAAATGGCCTTATAAGCAGTCTTTTAATTCATAGTGGGGTGGGCAGAGTAAGCCTGTGCTTATTTTTATTACTTTCTGACCATCGAGTTTTCCATTCACATGACAATTTCCATATAAACAAAAGCTCCAGCCAATATTAGATTTGACTACTTGTTTCAAGCTGTGGCACTTGAACATGAGTGTTGTGACATGTGGCAAATGTCCAACTGTCTTAGGTAATAAAATTGGTTAAATTTCAACTAGAAGCAGGTAAACCAGTATACCTGTATGTATGAAGCCAGTGAATGTTATTCAAGCCAAAGAAACTGCATCTATTTATATAAATACACATGGACAGAGAATATTTTCTTGGAGCAATAAATGTGACAATTATCCTACTGTCTGTGCTAAATATACCACACCAGAGCCACATAGCGTCCGACGAGGAGCTGGGTAGATAGTGAAGACAAACATTGACTGAAGCATTGCAAAGAACTGAATTGTTGTCAATAGCAACAAACATATACATAGGGAAAGTCAAAGACAGTAAAAAAACACACAGGCATATACATACTAACTTTCTAGGGTCTTTATTTGCTCCAACTAATCCAGAGTAGAACGAGATGAATCAACTTATAGTCCGCCATCTTTATTTTATTATTAGATGCAACCATTATTTTATGGGGGAAACGGGTCGTAACTTGAGGAGAGGTAACACCCATGATTTTAAAAATGCCTTGATTAATATAAGTCTAAGTTGCAGGGAAACGTTATTTTGATTTTTCAGTGGACCAATAAATCCATTTGACAGGGATAAAAACTCTACCACAACAGCAATTAAAACAGCTTGCTGCATTTTGAGTATCACTTCCCTGTCAAATTAGTAGTTCATGCTTATTGACTATCACACCTTGCTAGGCTCAAACTTCCATCCAATCAGAGCATTCCAAATAAACATGACTCCTCACAAATACTAGAGGGCGCTCTGACCAAAAAAATACCATAATTTTAATTAAAAGAACTTCTTCAGGAGCTGTATCCGTCTTGATCGAATAAAAAGACAACACAAGTGAATACTCACCTACAATCCATAAAACTATTATCCATTCAAGTATAGAGGGCGGAGGTCCTCTTTGCTGCTGCGCTAGCTCAGCTACTTTCAGACACTTCAAAACATCTTTTTTGTCTGTATGTAGCGCTGTACAATCAGCTGCTGCGTTGTTTTCGGCGATAGTGGTCGCAAACAGCAACACAAGGAAGGTCATGTAAGACATGGTATGCATCAGAAATGTTTATATAACTACAGATAAATAAGAATACGTTTTAAATTAAGGAAAAGAACTTCGTTTTACGAAGGTTAAAGCTGAGGAGTCTTCACCTGCGCATGCGTCAGATGGCCATAGCGTGCCATTGTTTATAAACAAGCGTCTACCCATGAGCCTTTGCGCTTTTAGGGCACAATTCCTGCGCGTGCGCAGGTGACGATCCTCCCGCTTTAATGGAAAAATCTTGGAAGAAAATATTGATAACAATTTTAAAAAAGTAAATTAAAAAACTATAACGCAAGTATAAAATAATAACGCATGGCCGTTTATCATAGTTTTGAATACTCACGGAATACGTATAAAATCAGCAAACTTTCCTTTTGGCCAGAAGAGGTATATGATTGATAGTACAGGATAGCTAATTGAGATGAGAAATGACATCAGAAGCATGACGAATGTACTTGTATCCACCTTGTTCTTCAGCTGCCTATAAAATTTCCCGATTAGATACTGCTGGCAATGTGCCTGTGCTATAAACTAAAGAAATGCATAGTGTAATTTAGTTAGAGACAAAGTACCCAGATCACAGGTGTATTGTATGCGACTAATCTGAACATGTTTTTCACGCGACTTTTTCTCGTACTTCCGCATGGCTTGTACGCTTGTTGTAAATATCACGTTACTTTCACATGACATAGACCCAAATCCCCTCACGTGCTTTGCACGTGACTAGGTTCTAAAAATCAATTTCACTTACATTGCGTAGTCCTGGATGTCATAATCTCTGTTTATATCTAACGTGTATTAAGTCCAGACTATTGTTATAATAGAGACTTCACGTGTGCACATTCGGCCCACACGCCGTTAGACTATTGTTATAATAGAGACTTCACGTTTGCACATTCGGCCCACACGCCGTTAGACTATTGTTTAGAATTAACAACTGGCATATTTAGGGTGGAGATTATAAACATATATTACAGGAATATGACAAATAGATTGTATTTAGTAGTGGCAGCTTTGCAAGGCTTTAACCGTCTAAGACACATCACTGGTAATCACGTGATCATGTCAACGACTGCAGCAATTGTAAGGGGAGAACCAGAGAACGGTGCAGCGAGGGTTTACGTCAGCTGACTGCTTGTGTGAATAAAGGTGGACTATCTGTAATGAACTTATGTGTGTTCATTTGGGTTCCCTGATCATTGAACTCAACGCTGTGTTCATATCACTATTACACTCATTCCATCATTTCTCGCATAATTCACGAAAATTTAAATAGGTATTAGTTTTGTCAACAAAACCAACCATTGATCATTTGAGAGGTTCAGAATATCAAATGGAATTATTTCAACATCTAACCAATACAAAATAAGTTCAAACATCTCACCTTCTTCTGTCGGTAATTAACTGCCTCGGTGACACGTTGTACAGACTCATCGTACACACTTTCTGCATCTAGTTTAGAATCGTACTCCAATACGCTTTTAATTTCACGTTGGTCACGTGTCTGTGCCAGCAAATCAGCAGCAAACTGTTCACATCTGATAGACATCTCTTCGTACTCTTGTGAAAACTCGTATTCTTCTTTACTCAACTTTCGTAATGTCACGCTTAACTGAATACGACGGAGTGAAAACATTAAATTAAACTGAACATTTATTTTTTTAATGAGGTTATTTAATGCTACACGTGAATGCACACATTCGAATAGTATTTGTCGTAGAATAAATATATTTTTAGCACATAACATAGTATTAGTTCTAATAAGTACATATTTCTAATGCCGATTGTATTGTGCGCATCAGAACAATCATTGCGCATGCGCGTGTTAGAGTCTGTCATTGTTTCATTGAGCGTTGCAAAACCCATCCATATTGTCATTCATATGTTTAGGTACAAATGTTTCATGGAACTGGAGTAATATATTGTTGAATACTTACAACAAAAGCATCACCGATAGGGTCAACTGAGGTCAGTGAAATGTATGCTTCGCTGGACAGTGCTTGGTAGATATGCAATCGCGTTAATGATGATTGTAATGAACTTGGCTCCGATCTTGGGGATACCACTGCCGGGTCTGGCATTACAGCTCCGTAATCAAGAAGAAGCTACAAAATGAAATGACGTCAGTGCTCAGCATCATTTACATTTACATAATAATATGTATTGTCTCATCGGAAAATGTGTTTACATCTGGTTATAACAATGAATATGTTTAAAATAAGAAATTAGGTATATATACATTTAACTGGTTTTATAAATTGTGAGTATGCACTATTCAACTCTATGACCTTAAGGTAGCGGGACTATTATTTGCATACTTATTTTCATCTTCTAATTGTGACTAAATGACTACAAATAGACCCGGGAAAGTATATATTTTTAGAATCGCCTAACTTCAAGCTTTTCACAAGTGTATTTTGCATGCCCGTATCTGCAATCTACGACGCGTTACTCAATCAAAGTTGAAAAATTACTTTTTCTGTAAAAAAAATAATTACGCATTTATGCTGGCGATAAGAAGTATTTTTTTCACTTTTCCTAGTTGTTCAATAGTCTGGTAAATTGAATGTGTCTGGTTAGTTATATTCAAGCAACGCGTTTTAAAAAATAGTGTCCTGAATTTCAATTACTGTTTTAGTCGCAT